TAAGCTAGAGATATAACAGATAACAAAAATACATACAACAAAGACAATTCAAAATATCCATTCAGAAAACAATTTACACATTCTCACCTGCCGTCTCCTAAGCACACTTGTCAGAGCATGTCTCAGTATGTGTATATTGCATGTTTTGTTGTCTTGGTTGTTTCTTGTGTGTCTTTTTTATTAAAATGTTTTTACATTACATTACTGAATCAGCTTCCAGTTTGTGTTCGGGCGGCAGACACCCTATCCGTTTTTAAGAGTGCGCTTAAGACCTTCCTTTTTGATAAAGCTTATAGTTAGGGCTGATTAGATTCAGCCCCTAGTTTTGCTGATATAGGCTTAGTTTGTCGGGGGACATCTTACTTCTTCCTTCTCTCTGTCTATACCTGTGTACTCTCATGTTCCGATTAACCCAGCTTCCCCAAATGTCTTTGTTTCTGGTGTCTGTATACGCCGGGATCCGGAGTCATGGATGATCCTGCGCTCCTGTGTCCTGGATCGCGAGCCCTGGATCTTGAGTCGTGGCTGTGGTCCTGGATCATAGGTCCTGGATGGATATCCTCGTGGATTCATCTTCCTATTATACACACATGCATTTCCAAACATTTGGACTACCTATGTTGCAAATGTATTATCTTTTCAATTTACACACGGCATCTATTGCACGTCTGTCCGTCCTGGGAGAGGGATCCCTCCTCTGTTGCTCTCCCTGAGGTTTCTCCCATGTTCCCTTTAAACTGTGGGTTTTCTCTGGAAGTGTTTCCTTTACGATGTGAGGGTCTAAGGACAGAGGGTCTAAGGACAGAGGGTGTCGTTTTGTCATACTGATATTTTTGTACAAATTGTTTAGTCCACTGAGACAAATGTAACATATGTGATATTGGGCTATATTAATAAACATTGATTGATTGATTGATTGATTGATTGACATGTTACTTGTTAGACGCTTTTATCCAAAGCGACTTACAATCCCCACAGGAGCAATTTGGGATGAAGTGTCTCAGGGACACAACGACATGCTCACTGCCTCCCGCTGTTAACATGGAAATGTAATAAGGACAATTATAATTAGACAACATTTGTTTCTATTATTGTTTTATTGTTCTTTACTTACGTACTTCTATGTTCTGACACTTTATACTTCTACTGTGCTGCATCTCAGAGGCAAAAGTACTTTATTTCATGAACATGGGAGGAATTCTCAAGACTACAACTCCCATGATCCCACGCTGCTTCATCGCCACACCAGACTCAGAGACATATTGTAAATAAAAGAATCAGAAAGAGTCATCATCTTTTTGTATTCCTCGTGTTCTTCTCCCACAGCGTCTATACTACCCACAATGCATTGCAGTGTGCAGGTCTTCCCTCTCTCAGCTCTGCAGAGTTCAGTTTTTATGTGTAAAGTCCTGCAGTGCTGATGGACGTAACACATGTTTCCTCTCCGGGGTTATACAGCTGCTCGTGGCTCTGACCTGTGGCCGACCTGCAGTAAAAACACAAGAAGTACACGTGAGAACAGTTATTCTTAAACGTGTACACATGTGAGTGTACATGTACTCATTAGCATAATGAGTAGATTTACTGTTTACTCTCAGTCTGTTTCGAAGCTAAATCTATTTTATTTTTATAATCGTTGTATTCTTTACTTTTCTTACAACTTATTTCCATATGTTTGCAGCACCATACACCAAAGCATTGTGTAATCAGACCCAGAGGTGGAAGAAGTACTAAGACTGTGTACTTGAGTTAAAGTAGAAGTACTAGAGTGTAGGAATACTCTATTACAAGTAAAAGTCCTGCATTCAAAATGTTACTCAAGTAGAAGTACTCAGATATTGTACTTGAGTTAAAGGAGAAGTACTCAGGTCTTGTACTTGAGTAAAAGTAGAAGTACTCAGGTCTTGTACTTGAGTAAAAGGAGAAGTACTCAGATCATGTACTTCAGTAAAAGTGGAAGTACTCAGATCTTGTACTTCAGTAAAAGTAGAAGTACTCAGATCTTGTACTTGAGCAAAAGTAGAAGTACTCAGATCTTGAACTTGAGTAAAAGTAGAAGCACTCAGATCTTGTACTTGAGTACTCAGATCTTGTACTTGAGTAAAAGTAGAAGTACTCAGATCTTGTACTTGAGTAAAAGTAGAAGTACTCAGATCTTGTACTTGAGTAAAAGTAGAGGTACTCAACCCGTCTGATGTTATAAACTACAGGCCTGTCTCTCTCCTCCCGTTCCTGTCTAAATCACTTGAACGCGCTGTCTTTAAACAACTCTCCTGTTATCTCAATCAGAACAACCTTCTGGATCCGCACCAGTCTGGTTTCAAGGCAGGTCACTCCACAGAAACTGCTCTCATTGCTGTCACGGAGGAACTGCACACTGCCAAAGCAGCCTCCCTCTCCTCTGTCATCATCCTATTGGACCTGTCTGCTGCATTCGACACGGTGAATCATCAGATCCTCCTTCGCACTCTCCAAAAACTTGGAGTTTCAGGCTCTGCACTTTCCCTCCTCACCTCATACCTGAAAGACCATACCTACTGGGTGACTTGGAGAGGGTCTGAGTCCGACCCTTGTCAATTAACTACGGGGGTCCCTCAGGGCTCTGTTCTTGGTCCCCTCCTCTTCTCCCTGTACACAAACTCGCTCGGATCAGTCATTAGCCCGCATGGTTTTTCTTACCACTGCTACGCTGACGACACCCAATTAATTCTGTCCTTTCCCCGCTCAGAGACCCAGGTCGTCGCACGCATCTCTGCTTGTCTAGCTGACATCTCTCAGTGGATGTCTGCTCACCACCTCAAGCTCAACATTGACAAGACTGAGCTGCTCTTCCTCCCGGGAAAAGATTGTCCCACTCTTGACCTAACAATCAACATCGGCACCTCAGTTGTTTCTCCGACTCAGACTGCAAGGAATCTGGGTGTGACCCTAGATAACAACCTGTCCTTCACTGCAAACATCGCTGCTACAACCCGTTGCTGCAGATACACGCTTTACAACATCAGGAAGATACGTCCCCAGCTGACTCAGAAAGCGACTCAGGTTCTGGTCCAGGCTCTCGTCATCTCACGCCTAGACTACTGCAACTCCCTCCTGGCTGGTCTACCTGCATGTGCCATCCGACCTCTGCAGCTCATCCAGAATGCAGCGGCTCGTCTGGTTTTCAACCTTCCTAAATTCTCCCACACCACTCCGCTCCTCCGCTCCCTTCACTGGCTTCCGGTAACTGCTAGAATCCACTTCAAGACACTGGTACTTGCTTACCATGCTGCGAATGGATCTGGCCCTTCCTACATCCAGGACATGGTTAAACCGTACACCCCAGCGCGTGCACTACGCTCTGCATCAGCCAAACGACTCGCTGCGCCCTCGCTGCGAGGGGGACCCAAGTTCCCATCAGCAAAAACACGTGGGTTTGCTATCCTGGCTCCAAGATGGTGGAATGAGCTCCCCATTGACATCAGGACGGCAGATAGCTTGCACATCTTCCGGCGCAAACTGAAAACTCATCTCTTTCGACTCCACTTCGAGCGATAGAACTATTAACGAAGCACTTTTATACTAATAAAGGACTGGCTTACCTAAAGCCAGTTGAGTAGCACTTGAAATGTTTGGCTCTATGAAACCTGATGTACTTTATGATTCTGTTTTCTTCAAGGTTGTGTCTTCCTGGTCGAATGTACTTATTGTAAGTCGCTTTGGATAAAAGCGTCAGCTAAATGCAATGTAATGTAATGTAATGTAATGTAATCTTGAACTTAGTAAAAGTAGAAGTACTCAGATCTTGTGCTTGAGTAAAAGTAGAAGTACTCAGATCTTATACTTGAGTAAAAGTAGAAGTACTCAGATCTTGTACATGAGTAAAAGTAGAAGTACTCAGATCTTGTACTTGAGTAAAAGTAGAAGTACTCAGATCTTGTACTTGAGTAAAAGTAGAAGTACTCAGATCTTGTACTTGAGTAAAAGTCGAAGTACTCAGATCTTGTACTTGAGTAAAAGTCAAAGTACTCAGGTCTTGTACTTGAGTAAAAGTAGAAGTACTCAGGTCTTGTACTTGAGTAAAAGTAGAAGTACTCAGATCTGGTACTTGAGTAAAAGTAGAAGTACTCAGATCTTGTTCTTGAGTAAAAGTAGAAGTACCAGAGTGTAGGAATACTCTGTTACAGTCAAAGTCCTGCATTCAAAATGTTCCTCAAGTGAAAGTAGAAAAGTATTCTCATCAAAATATAGTGAAAGTAGCGACAGTGAAAGTAGTCGTTGTGCAGATTGGTCCATTTCAGAATAATATATATGATATGTTTTATAATGATTGATCATGAAAGTGTTCTCAAAGCTGGTGAAGGTGCAGCTAGTTTGAATGGCTTTGTATACTGCAGGGTAGCTTGTGGATTTACTCCAGGTGGAACTAAAGTCTGATTCAACACTTGATTAGATTTCACATCATTCATCCACATCTGTGAAGTGGAGGAAAAGTACACCATGTACCTCTGAACTGTAGTGGAGTAGAAGTACACAGTAGCATACAATGGAAAGTATCTCGAAATGTTACTTAAGTACAGTACTTGAGTAAATGTACTTAGTTACTTCCCACATCTGAACAGACCTGGCAGTAAACTATATTCTGATTCATAAGGAAGAGGAGTAGGGCCACATGATCAAACATTTTGTGAATGAATTCTGACTCTAATCTCGGATCTGATTTTTATTATATTTCTTTACTCTTGGTAACATCCTAAAAAAAAGGTTTCATGTTGCCCTAATCCTCTTCCATAGATCAATTACACAAGTACAAGTTGACTTTAGAAAAAAGAGTCTAACTGCTCCTTTAAGGTCTTAAAAAATGTCCTTTTTGTCCATGTAAACTCCTCCCTCCTTCCTCTTTGTGCCTCGTATGGGATCAACCTGTTGTTCCTGATCCAGGATCAGTTCATCCAGCCTGTCGGGCATGAGCGGCGACGGGAGCGCGCTTTGCTAAACTGATCCGGGGTCAGCGCGTCCCCGTCGCCCCTTCACTGTTCTCCGGTCGCCGCGCACTCTTCTCCCCCTTCACTCCTCTCTCTCTCCAGAAAGGTTTCCCACGCCTCCGCACAGCAGGCTTGTTTTCTGAATAAATGCCGAAACCGTCGACTTAAAATCGGGAGGATTTCTATAACCAAACTGCATTCAAGATGTGGGAATTAAATCAAAACAGGGATCTACTTTTTCTGGAGTAAAGCGACACACGTAAACTTTTTCACTCGGAGCGAAGTGCACCGCGGTCGGGTTGATAATGTCAGCCGTCCTGGGAGGATTTTAACTATTATTTATTTTTAAAAAAAAACATTTTAGAGCCTTCTCTGTCAGGCCCTTCTGTTTATGGACTATTTTTTATATTTTGTAACCATTTTGGAAGCTTTCCCGTCAATCCCCCTTTTGTTTATGGACTCTTTTCTCGGTTGGAAAACAGCGACTTCCACACCTCAGGAATTTAACAACGGAAACACCGAGGCGTCAGTGAACGCCGCTTGTAGCACGGCTTAGCATGTTAGCATACGAGCTTAGCATGTTAGCTTGTTTTCAAAGCTAGTTTTGTTGTGAGGATTCCCATACCTCAGGAATTTAACAGCGGCAAATCCGAGTCGTCTGTGAACGCCGCATGTAGCATTGATTAGCATCATAGCTTAGCATGGTTTTTTTAGTCCCAAAAACACTAAATTCAACTGCTTGAAATAGGTGTAGCATGACCCAGATGTTCTGTTAAAGTTCCTCGGGTGTTGTAGGTTGTTATTTCTTTTATAACTTAGGTATTAAGTCCGTGTTAGTGGACAGTTAGATGTTAGCATGTTAGCAGCTAATGTTAGCATGTTAGCTTCAGACGGAGATCTGGGAGCCAACGATGAGCTGATTGCGTTCAAAGACGAGGGAGAACAGGAGGAAAAGAGAAACGTTTCCTCGGAGAGAGACCTGGACGATGTGAAGAGTTCTCTGGTCAACGAGTCCGAGTCCAGCTCCGACTCTGAGGTGAGAGGTTCACCTGAGAGAGGACTCAGATACAGCAGAGCAAAAGTACTGAAGTACAAGTAAAAGTACTGCATAACAGGCTCTGCATAACAAGTACAAGTATTGCATAACAAGTACTGCATAACAAGTAAAAGTACTGAAGTACAAGTAAAAAGCTCTGCATAACTAGTAAAAGTACTGCATGAAACATCTTAATTAAGTATTGTCAGCTTCATGTAAAAGTACACACGTTTCATCAACTGAATGTAAAACTACCTGCACAAGTATTGTCAGCTTTTTGTACAATTACCAATACGCCAAAGCAAAAGTACTGCATAACAAGTACAAATCCTGCATTAAAAGTACTGCATGAAACATTTTATACAAGTATAATCAGATTCATGTTGAAGTATCAGCAGTAAAATGTTTCATTTAAAACCATCTTTATGTAAAAGTATTACCAGTATAAATACAGTTATTAACAGCTTCAAGTAAAAGTGCACAAGTATTGTCAGCTTTTTGTAAAAGTACTGCAATTAAAAGTACTGCATAACAAGTAAAAGTACTGTGTGTGTGTTTAGGCTGACAGACGCCCCAGAACCAATCCTGACCTGCAGAGCCGAGCCAGACACAGTCACCTGTTTGAAGAAGGTACTTTACGTTTACTCACAATTTGTTTGGTTTTCCTTTAAAGAGTCCTCTCCTGCTGATGTTCAGGTGTATATCAGTATGTAGTGTCTCTACTTTAAAGAGTCCTCTCCTGCTGATGTTCAGGTGTATATCAATATGTAGTGTCTCTACTTTAAAGAGTCCTCTCCTGCTGATGTTCAGGTGTATATCAGTATGTAGTGTCTCTGCTTTAAAGAGTCCTCTCCTGCTGATGTTCAGGTGTATATCAGTATGTAGTGTCTCTACTTTAAAGAGTCCTCTCCTGCTGATGTTCAGGTGTATATCAGTATGTAGTGGTCTCTACTTTAAAGAGTCCTCTCCTGCTGATGTTCAGGTGTATATCAGTATGTAGTGTCTCTACTTTAAAAGAGTCATCTCCTGCTGATGTTCAGGTGTATATCATATTGGAGTGTCTCTACTTTAAGAGAGTCCTCTCCTGCTGATGTTCAGGTGTATATCAATATGTAGTGTCTCTAGCTTTAAAGGAGTCCTCTCCTGCTGATGTGCAGGTGTATATCAGTATGTAGTGGTCCTCTGCTTTAAAGAGTCCTCTGCCTGCTGATGTGCAGGTGTATATCAGTATGTAGTGTCTCTACTTTAAAGAGTCCTCTCCTGCTGATGTTCAGGTGTATATCAGTATTAGTGTCTCTACTTTAAAGAGTCCTCTCCTGCTGATGTTCAGGTGTATATCAGTATGTAGTGTCTCTACTTTAAAGAGTCCTCTCCTGCTGATGTTCAGGTGTATATCAGTATGTAGTGTCTCTACTTTAAAGAGTCCTCTCCTGCTGATGTTCAGGTGTATATCAGTATGTAGTGTCTCTGCTTTAAAGAGTCCTCTCCTGCTGATGTTGCGGGGTGGTATATCAGTATGTAGTGTCTCTACTTTAAAGAGTCCTCTCCTGCTGATGTTCAGGTGTATATCAGTATGTAGTGTCTCTACTTTAAAGAGTCCCTCTCCTGCTGATGTTCAGGTGTATATCAGTATGTAGTGTCATCTACTTTAAAGAGTCCTCTCCTGCTGGTGTTCAGGTGTATATCAGTATGTAGTGTCTCTACTTTAAAGAGTCCTCTCCTGCTGGTGTTCAGGTGTATATCAGTATGTAGTGTCTCTACTTTAAAGAGTCCTCTCCTGCTGATGTTCAGGTGTACATCAGTATGTAGTGTCTCTAACTTTAAAGAGTCCTCTCCTGCTGATGTTCAGGTGTATATCAGTATGTAGTGTATCTACTTTAAAGAGTCCTCTCCTGCTGATGTTCAGGTGTATATCAGTATGTAGATGTCTCTACTTAAAGAGTCCTCTCCTGCTGATGTTCAGGTGATATCAGTATGTAGTGTCTCTACTTTAAAGAGTCCTCTCCTGCTGATTGTTCAGGTGTATATCAGTATGTAAGTGTCTCTACTTTAAAGAGTCCTCTCCTGCTGATGTTCAGGTGTATATCAGTATGTAGTGTCTCTACTTTAAAGAGTCCTCTCCTGCTGATGTTCAGGTGTATATCAGTATGTAGTGTCTCTACTTTAAAGAGTCCTCTCTTGCTGATGTTCAGGTGTATATCAGTATGTAGTGTATCTACTTTAAAGAGTCCTCTCCTGCTGATGTTCAGGTGTATATCAGTATGTAGTGTCTCTACTTTAAAGAGTCCTCTCCTGCAGATGTTCAGGTGTATATCAGTATGTAATGTCTCTACTTTAAAGAGTCCTCTCCTGCTGATGTTCAGGTGTATATCAGTATGTAGTGTCTCTACTTTAAAGAGTCCTCTCCTGCTGATGTTCAGGTGTATATCAGTATGTAGTGTCTCTACTTTAAAGAGTCCTCTCCTGCTGATGTTCAGGTGTATATCAGTATGTAGTGTCTCTACTTTAAAGAGTCCTCTCCTGCTGATGTTCAGGTGTATATCAGTATGTAGTTTCTCTACTTTTAAAGATTCCTCTCCTTTTTTTTTATGTGTTTCAGGTGTATATCCGTATGTAGTGTCTCTACTTTAAAGAGTCCCTTCCTGCTGATGTTCAGGTGTATATCAGTTTTTTTTATGTAGTGTCTCTACTTTAAAGAGTCCTTCTACTGCTGATGTTCAGGTGATATCAGTATTGTAGTGTCTCTACTTTAAAGAGTCCTCTCCTGCTGCTGTTCAGGTGTATATCAGATCTGTAGTCTTGTCTCTACTTTAAAGAGTCCTCTCCTGCTGATGTTCAGGTGTATATCAGCTACCCCCCCCGCCCCCCTGTAGTGTCTCTACATTTATAAGAGGTCATCTCCTGCTGATGTTCAGGTGTTATCTCAGTACTGTTAGTGTCTCTACTCTTAAAGAGTCCTCTCCTGCTGATGTTCAGGTGTATATCAGTATGTAGTGTCTCTACTTTAAAGAGTCCTCTCCTGCTGATGTTCAGGTGTATATCAGTATGTAGTGTCTCTACTTTAAAGAGTCCTCTCCTGCTGATGTTCAGGTGTATATCAGTATGGTAGTGTCTCTACTTTAAAGAGTCCTCTCCTGCTGATGTTCAGGTGTATATCAGTATGTAGTGTCTCTACTTTAAAGAGTCCTCTCCTGCTGATGTTCAGGTGTAATATCAGTATGTAGTGTCTCTACTTTAAAGAGTCCTCTCCTGCTGATGTTCAGGTGTATATCAGTATGTAGTGTCTCTACTTTAAAGAGTCCTCTCCTGCTGATGATCAGGTGTATATCAGTATGTAGTGTCTCTACTTTAAAAGAGTCCTCTCCTGCTGATGTTCAGGTGTATATCAGTACGTAGTGTCCTCTACTTTAAAGAGTCATCTCCTGCTGTTGTTCAGGTGTATATCAGTATGTAGTGTCTCTACTTTAAAGAGTCCTCTCCTGCTGGTGTTCAGGTGTATATCAGTATGTAGTGTCTCTACTTTAAAGATTCCTCTCCTGCTGGTGTCCAGGTGTATATCAGTATGTAGTGTCCTCTACCTTTAAAAGAGTCCTCCTCCTGCTGATGTTCAGGTGTTATATCAGTATGTAGTGTCTCTACTTTAAAGAGCCTCTCCCTGCTTGATGTTCAGGTGTGTATATCAGTATGTAGTGTCTCTACTTTAAAGAGTCCTCTCCTGTTGATGTTCAGGCTGTATATCAGTATGTAGTGTCTCTCCTTTAAAAGAGTCCCTCCTCCTGCTGATGTTCAGGTGTATATCAGTATGTAGTAGTCTCTACTTTACAAAGAGTCCTTCCTGCTGATGTTTCGAGGTGTATATCAGTATTTGTAGTGTCTCTACTTTAAGAGTCCATCTCCTGCTGATGTTCCAGGTGTATATCAGTATGTAGGTGGTCTCTACTTTAAAAGAGTCTCTTCCTTGCTGATGTCAGGTGTTATAATCAGTTGTAGTGTCTCTACTTTAACGGGGATAGGTATCTCTGTGTACTTAAGAGTCCGCTCTGCTGAGTTCAGGCTGTATATCAGTATGTAGTGTCTCTACTTCACAAAGAGTCCTCTCCTGCTGATGTTCAGGTGTATATCAGTATGTAGTGTCTCTACTTTAAAGAGTCCTCTCCTGCTGATGTTCAGTGTATATCAGTATGTAGTGTCTCTACTTTAAAGAGT